AACACCCAGTTATAGTTACCCCATCCCCCACCCCCTTCACCTACGGCAACCCTCAGTTTGTTTCCTAGAGTTAAAAGTCTCTTATGGTTTGTCTCCCTCTCTGATTTCATCTTATTTTTTTTTCCTTCCCTTCCCCTATGTTCACCTGTTTTGTTTCTTAAATTCCACATATGAGTGAAATCATATGGTATTTGTCTTTTTCTGGCTGCCTTATTTCACCAAGCATGATACCCTCTAGTTCCTTCCACGTTGTTGCAAATGGCAAGATTTCATTCTTTTTGATGGCTGAGTAATATTCCATCGTATATATAGATATAGATAGATAGATCGATATAGATATATACTACATCTTCTTTATCCATTCATCTGTCCATGGACATCTGGGCTCTTTCCATAATTTGGCTATTCCACTACCTCTTAAAACATCCCACTCCACCTTCAGATAGGTCTGGTTTTTTGATAGTTTCCATTTCCTGTTGAATCTAAATCTTTCCTGGAAACTTCCTAGTTAGTCCCGGTTCCATCCGTATGGTTACATCAAACTCATCTAACTCCTCTTCCTCAAAATAGCAGTTTAAATAATGTGAAAGTCACTGATATCACCCTCCCTGCCTGTGCTTTTCCCATTCCATGAGTCTTATCTTTTCCTGACAATACAACTTCAGTTTCTTCAATAATCTTTAGAAGAAACTGAAGTTGTATTGTCAGATCATTATGGTTTCTGTTTTCTAAGGCAACCTGTGCTTACACATGTGATTTAGCTCCGTGTACATTGAGTCACTACTATGTGCTGAGATACAAAGATGAGAAGATGCGATGAGGCTGCAGGGAATGGCATTCTAGACAGGTGGAACAGTGGAGGCATGAAGCTAGAGAACTTCAGACAATTCAGTATATTCCTGGAATGTAAAGTGTAAACTGGAATCAGATGTGATGAAACTACAAAAGGAGGCAGGTGGGTTTTACCTGTAGGTGATGAGGGTCATCGAAGGACTTTTCATCAGAGGGGCAACAGGTTCTGGTTTGTGCTTTAGCATGAGCTTTTAACCACAGCAAGAAGATCGGGCAAAACTGGACATAAAGAGACCATTAACTGAATGAAGAACACCAAGAGGACAAAGAAGAGGAAAACAAGTCATAAACCAAAATGTCCAAAATATATGCCAGAGGCTAACAGTGGTTATCTCTGGGTGGTGGAATAAGGGATGATTTCCTTCTTTTTGCTTCCCATGTTTTGTAATTTCTCTGTCATAAGTATTTTCTATTTTCTCTATGATAGTCTATTTTCCCTATAATACATGATTTTTCCTGTTATTTATATAGTAAAAATAATTCATTCCTGTCTGAAGACACTTCAAAATCAAACTGCGTGACTTGATAACCAGTTAGAGGGAAGAGCTTCAGGAATCAGGTTTCTGGCCTGGGTGCTCAGGTGGGTGGTACAGCCTCCTGCTGAGATAGGGACGGGGGAACAGAGCATTACTTCAGAACTCTGATGGCATCCCTGATGGCTCGAAGGAAGCCCACGGGCTGCTGTGGCTTCTTTTTGACCTCTCTGTAGCCCACTCAGTAGTCTCCACCCGAGTTTGCTGGCCCCTGAAACTCACCTGTCCATTCACATCCTAGCTGAAGGATAAGTAGGAGGGAACCGTGGGAAAGACTTCCAGCCAAGGGAACAGCATGCTTCACAGCCCTGTGGAGGAGGAGGTGCAGGCATACCTCGTTTTATTGCACTTCATATTACTGTGCTTGCAAATGCTGCATCTTTTTTTTTTTACAAATTGAAGGTTTGCGGCAATCCTGTGTCCAGCAAGTCTATCAAGCCATTTTCCCGGGAACATTTGCTCACTTTGTGTCTGTGTGTCACACTTGGGTAATTCTCACAATATTTCAAACTTTTTTTATTACTTTATTTGTTATGGTGATCTGTAATCAGTGATTATGACTCACTGAAAGCTCAGATGATGGTTTATTTATTATGATGGTTTATTAAACAATGCTCAGCATTGTTTAGCAATAAAGTATTTTTAAATTAAGGTGTATATGTTGGTTTTTTAGAGATAATGCTATTGCACACTTAATAGACTCCAGCATCATGTAAACATAACTTTTACATGCCCTGGGAAAGCAAAACATGCATTTGACTTGCTTTAATGCAATATTCCTTTCATTGCCGTGGTCTGGAACTGAACCCTCAAGATCTCCGAGGTCTGCCAGTATGGCATAGTTGGGGCTAACAGAAAAGCTGTTTTGACTAGGAATGCAGAGAGTGGGGGGCAGGGGATGGGAGTGGACAGAGAGGTAGATAGGGGTCCAGCCCTTGTGCCACACTTTGAAGGGCACGAGAAGGACTCTGGTCTTTAAGAGCAGAACCTCTGGCCGTGGCACAGAGGAGAGGTTCCCATTTTTGTCTCCCACCACTTTCTCACCACCGCAGGCTATGGCACCGAAGGCCTGATAACAAGGCTCGCTGATGGTCTGGATGGGCGGGATTGGGAGGCCTCCCTCCCCTTCAGTGAGTAGCACTTAGAGCGCCCCACCCACCCACCCACCAGCAGACATCTCTGAAACTTGCTTTGCAGTTCAGTTTTCAACTTCCTCCATGGCTTCGCATACTTTAGCACTAATGTGTGTACAACTTGCTAATTAATGAAATCATTTGGATCTGAAAACATCTTGTCCTAATGGGAGGCTGCAAAGCACTCTCATTAATTCACAGGTAAAATTATTCCAGCTTTTCTTTTAATTTTTTTCCCTCTCCCCATCTTAGCTTAATAACTGGGGAGAATTCCTCTAATTAGCCTTGTGAAAATCACTCCACCAAATCACAAAACACCAATGGCTGCCTTGGGGCCTGGGGAGAGGGTGACCCAGACTTTGTTTATCCAGTGCAGAGGGAGGGCTGTGGGTGAATGTGAAGGTGAAACTCCCAATGCACAGGGCAGTGGAAGGGTGTCCACAGCTGGGTGGGTACATCAGGTGGAGACACTAAAAGCACCTTGTGTGGTATGATGCACAGGTGGGTGTCCTATCATATGTATGTCAAAGGTGGTCACAAGATTTTCTGCACAACTGGCCTAGATGTAAGGAAGGAGAACCTGCCCTTACCCCTGCTTCTCTCCTAGGACGTGAAGACTTGGTGTACTCACTGTTGCCGGAAAGCTTTCTTGGAACTGGGTGTAATCTGGGGGTGACTTGCTGGCAACCCTCCACCATTTTGCAAATGAAAACTTGTAACATCCCTTTTAAACAAAGAGAATTCTTGGTGTCATTGATGGTTGAGCTTATAAGTTAAGGGGTCCTATTACACAGCCATCAGAAAAAAAAAAATGAAATCTTGCCATTTGCAATGACGTGGATGGAACTAGAGGGTATTATGCTAAATGAAATAAGTCAATCAGAGAAAGGCAATTATTGTATGATCTCACTGTTACGTGGAATTTAAGAAACAAGGCAGAGGATCATAGGGGAAGGGAGGAAAAAAGGAAACAGAACAAAAGCAGAGAGGGACACAAACCATAAGGGACTCTTAATCTCAGGAAACAAACTGAGGGCTGCTGGAGGGAATGGGGTAACTGCGTAATGGACACTGGGGAGCGTATGTGTTGTAATGAGCACTGGGTATTATATCAGACTGATGAATCACAGACCTGTACCCCTGAAACAAATAAGACATTATATGTTAATTGAATTTAAATTTTTTTAAAAAGAATAAAAAATTCTCTTTTACTTACAGTTCCTCCAACTATCCTTATCCTAACACACAATCTTTTCTTGAGACATTCTTAGATGATGAACAATTTGACCAAGAAAATATTTTTAAAGTAAAGTGTAAATAAACATACCGTCATTTCCAAATGCTGTCCGAAGACATCAGGGGAGTTTATTCTAGACCTATTAGCCCTGCCTATAACTATAAATTAAACATGTCCTGAAATCTTAAAAAAAAATTTTTAATTAAATTTTTAAAAACATAAGAAAAAAAAAGAAAGCAGGAAAAAAAAATAAGTTAGGGGGTGCTTTTTCCCATAAGACAGCAGTACAAGCCTACACTTTTGGGAGCACTGACAAGACCCATGTGCTAAATAGGATTTTTCATTTACTTTTTTTCTTGACAGGATCTGGGTACTTTCAGTTTTTATTGTGGTAATGTATCCATATCAAACTTTGCCATTATAACTATTTTAAGTGTATGGTTCAGTGGTACTAAGTATATTCACATTGTGCGACCATCACCGTTATCCATCTCTGGAAATTTTTCATCTTCCCAAATGGAAAGTACAAACGCATTAAACATGAACTCCCTTCATTGGGGTTTTTGAATGGAAGGCTGTAATGTTCTTCAGATTTGGGCACTGAGGGAAAGGGGCCTGGTCAGAAATCTGTAGGAAAAGAAGTCCACTCACGTAATCTCTGGAGAGATGGTCCCACAGAGGTCTCACCACCTACATGTATCCTGGGGGTTTGAATCAGTTTCAACAAAGGAAGTCCCACACTCCCAGATGCCTAGCAACCAGATTTGTGTTTTCTAGCAGATGGGTCAGCCATCGGCTCTAGGAATCCCACCTTGAGTGATAAGCAAGTCCTTGCAGGGCTATCTCTAGTCAGCGTTAACTCTCACTATAGTGAGATGCTGGTCTAGGACAAAAAGATGCTAGGTTGTCTCCAAGATAGGATATTAGAAAATTGGATAGTCTGGATAAAACAATACATTCTTCCCCTTAGAAGCACAGCATCTGCCAGTCCTTTCATTTGGATGTGCCTCCAAGAAAGATTTGGAGTCAGGCCAACCTAGATATCAATCCCTGCTTTGTCACTCGCTCACTGTGTGACTTTAAGCCTCACTTTCCTCATCTAAAAAATGGGGCTTGTGATACATCACTGGTAGAGTTGCTAAGAAGATTGCATGAGATTATGTCAGTATGGCATCCAGGATAGCTCTTGGTTCAATAAATGGAAGCTGATGTGCTCACTATTACTATCTGATTTTGTCATTGTAGGTCTCCAGGTGGTTCTGAATTCCATTATCAAGGCCATGGTGCCCCTGCTGCATATTGCCCTGCTAGTGCTGTTTGTCATCATCATCTATGCTATCATCGGCCTGGAGCTCTTCATGGGGAAGATGCATAAGACCTGCTACAACCAGGAGGGCATAGCAGGTAAGGGAAGATGCGAGTGGCCAGCTCTCAAGAAGCTTCCCTGTCTCATTGCTACTTTCCTTATAATGGTCTGAACTGCCACCACATGACCAGTGGCACTAGGGAAGGCCTCCTCCATTCAAGTACTCATCTTTTCATTCCATGGATAAGTGAGAGGCAGGGATTGGTATTCTTTTCCGCTCAGTTAATTTTTTTCTAGTACAATAAATCTCTATTAAAACAGCTAAATGCAAATTCCCATCCAGCACTACTAAACAGTTTAAATGAGCTGTGTGAATCAAGAAACATCACCTAGACAACCTGGAGTATTTTAATTTAAGAATCAGAACTGACATAGTGAGGGTGTGTATCTCTGTTCCATGGTCCTTCAGTGTCGATTGTCGCTTCCCTTTCAGGAAGGCAGCTTTGCCTGTAGCCAGTAGATACCTCCGTCACAACGTTGGGTTCTGTCTACCCTTCAGGGCTGATCTTGGCTCCTCTGTGCTCAGGGTTTTCTACTTCTCCCTTCATAGGCAGAACCTCCTGGCCCCCTGTCATGGGGCAGGGGGACCTGTTGAGATTTCTCTCCCTATGGTCCTTCCATAAGTCAATATATTTAGCAAGCAATGCTGACCCAGTAAGCACTTCTCTGAATAGGACCAAAGTTTTGGCTCGTGGGCTACACTACAAACTGTTGTCTTAGGTTGCTAAAATCTCAGCGGCACCTTTAAAAAAAAATCATTTAAACAGGAATTGACAAAACTTTTAAACAGACGCATAAAGTAGTTTAACATAAAAACTTGTTGAAAAAAATACTTCCCCCAAAGGGGTTAGAAGTGTTAAATTTATGTGATTGTTTTTTCCAACAAGATCTTTCATCTTGGTTTTTGGCTTCTTGGTGGAGAAAGGTCTGAAGTTTTAAAAGATACCTCATTTCTCTCCATCTGTACTGCTTCTCCTTCCCATTCAGCCCAGGCATTAAATTAAATTTGACCCCTCTTGCTTTAGGATGGTGAGGAGGGACAGATCTACACAACAAGGAGTGACATTGGTTATTCATATTCAGAAACCAAAATAGAGTACCTGATCTGGATGATCTGGTTTAACTGGGTGGATTGACTGGGTATTTGTAGTTTCTAGATCACCACTACATGACCATAGCCCTAAAACAAACAAACAAAAAACTATAAACCCATAATCACAGACTCACACAATTGTTTTTACTTTTTTGATAGAGTCTGTTTAAGAGACCATTTTTTCACTCTGGAGAGAACTTCCTAATTATTTGGGTCATAATTACATAAAATAAACTGTCATATTAAGAAAAAAGCTCTTTAATATTAGAACAGATCTTGCCTTTAGCTAAAATTCTGAGATTTCCAGCTTTGCTTAGAGGAATACCAAATAATGCAATGAATAGTATTTTACCCTTGAATTCAAATCCTTCTTTTTATTCAGTTTAGTCTGTAGCCAGCCCTGAACCAATAAATTTATGTTAATTGGGTAGCTTTGTCAGAGCTCATTCTAAGTCCCACTTAAGAGATGGACTGTTTATCTGTCAAGTTTATGCAGTTGTATTGAAATGATCAGTGACTCTTTAGACCCAAACTCCTCAGATAGTAAAAGGGAGGTTGAGTGTCAAACACCCCAGGAGTGGGTATGTGTGATGGTGTGGCTCTCACCAATAGCATACCAAGGGGCAGGGGGAGAATGAAATGGTGAAATTCTGCCGTAGAGCTAATGATAGCAAACATACCCTGCAACCAAAGGTCTGTGCACCACTTACCTAAGGAGCACTGCTCCCAGAGCTGCACGTGGTTTCTATCATCCTGCTGGGAAAACAGTAAAAGTATGTTTTTCACTGGTAGCAAGATCCTCTAAGGGCCTATGCTAACAAGCAACCCTGAACGTTGGAAGTCACTGGGCTTTGTTGTCAGACCTGCAGTGGCCTCAACTGGCAAGAAAATGGTGGGCATGATAAACAAAGGAGACACAAGATGGGATGCTCTTCTCTGGACCATAGCTGCACATTCTGGTGAAAGAGCCACCAACAGCCTGCCAACACTTAGAGTGGCCTCCCCACTGTTAGGATAAAGACCAGAACTGGACTCACCAATTGAAGTGGCCTCTTTAGAACCATTTTGAGCCATATTGTTTTCCATCCTTGATTAAAAAAAAAAAAAAAAACAGGACTAGGAAAAATACTTGAGACGTCGCCTGCTTCCTACCAGAAGATGCATCAGATTATTTAGCGGTGGGTTTTACCTTCACCCCACAAGTCAGAAGGGAAGTTAGCTGCCATGGTGAAAATGACCATCAGCCTGGGGATCCAGGGTGTCAGAGGACAGACACTGAGAGAAGTGTTCCAGAGAGAGGAGCCATGCCAGCCCCATCAGGAAGGTGACCTCACTCCGTGTGGAGCCAGGCTCCCTGCTCCAAAGAGGGGCTGAGGACACCTGGCTGTAGAAGCCTTTTCACTCAACACTCTGCAATCAGGAGCTCATGTAGCTCCTCCTTCCTAAATCTGCCATCTGATGACAAATCCAGGGACCCACTCCATCACTCCCAACAGAACATGTACCACAGTCATCAGGGCCTCTTCCACCTACATAGTGACTAAAACTAATGAGAAGGAAAAAAAAGTATGGGAATCTGGACATACTCCATGCAGCCATAGAGAAGAAGACCAAAAACCTGCAATCTTTGAAACCAACCCCCATGTGTTTTGGAGAGTTTTATACCACCTTTGGAATGGGTGGTATTTTTTTTAAGTTTAGACTTTGGATTGAATTACCATATTTTTCTGCAAATTTAAATTATACAAAAGTGCTTGTGAGCCCTTGTCATAATTTTTTAATGGAATTTAGATCAAATTCTTCTTTTTGCACTCTAAGATTATTTCTCAGGCTGGGAATTTTATGTGCTTGTAGATTGTAGGACACATTGGATTTTGAGCCATGTTTTGGATAAAGAAAGCTCTGGAGCTTGGCTGGCTGGACCATTATTCAGCCTCTAGGCTGCCCTTCCAGCTCCCTGTAGAGGTGGTCTCTGAAGAGGCAATTTTTCTCCAATCCCAGAGGCATCTGCAAGGCACCTTCCTAGTTCCTCAACAGATACATCACCATATGCCGGCACGTTTTGTTTCTGGCTGTCCCATCTGTTTGATGGCCCTCTGAGCCAGGCCACTCTGAATCGCTCTCCCAAGCACACTAATTACCCCTGAGACTGACAAAGAATTGGTTGGCTCAAACCTAGAAATGAAATCATTCTCATTGTATTCACTTCTTAAAGTTGGGTCCTAAAAAAGTAATTGTTTTTGTCTTTGGTGATTTCTCCTTGGAACCCCTAACTGGCACTCTCCCAGGATTTCATGTTCTTGTTGGTATTAACTGCGTTTCTAACATCTCTCCTAATCTTCGCCTCCATTCTTTTACCACAAACTTAATTTGGACTTTCCAGAATGATTCTACTTCACTTCTGTTTTAAGGCATAGGGCCCACATCTTTGTTTCTTTCTCCTACTTTTGTTCCTGCTTTCCTCCCTGGGACTTCATGACTCTGCAGAAGAAAACCAACACAATCTTCATGTTCAAACTAATTTCCCCCCACCCTCAAGTGCATGTCGCAAGGACCTGCTGATATGTGTGTGTTCACATTTTTCAAGTGTTCCCTTTAGTGCTTTTTATAGATACCTATTTTTACCAGATCATCATTGCTTCTTAATTGTTCTCAAATCTTTTTTTATTGTTGTTCAAGATAGTTTAAAATAGCAGTGGCGCTTGAGCCTTTAGATAATCTCTCTGAACCCCAGCCCTTTTTTTTTATTATTAATGAGATCACTTCCCCTTGATGCCATTTTCTTTTCAACACATATTTTTTTGTAAAACCCCAAAAGATGTTTTTCTTCCTTGAGGACACTCAGAATCCACTTTGGCGACCTTCACTTTTTCCTTATTTTTGCCTGTTTCAGGAATAGAGAACACAGGGAAGACTGTCAGATGAGCATTCACAATGCAAAGAGTAACAGCATCTTTATTCACTAGAAGGCAAAACAGGAGAAAAAGAAATGCAAGTTGTCCCTCTGTTTTTTCACCTCTTTTTCTCCCATCTCCTATATCATTCCAGCACTTTTATCACAGTGATTGAACACATCACAGTAGAAAGCCATCATCAGAACGGGTGAGAAACCCAACAGAATGTATGATCTGTTTAGTTCTTGGTTTCCCGGTCTCTCAATTTTTTAGGTGTTTGTTACCCACTTTTTTATGAATTCTTTAGGGTTGGGATTGACTTCTTAGTTCCCCTCTTTTAATAGCCTCCCATTGTTTAAACTCACATCCAAATTTCCAAAGACTTCAAAAATTCAAAAGTCACAAAAAATTGGCTAGAGTTCAGTTCCAGAAGCAGAGCCCTACTGGGAGCCAGACCCTGGAGTCAGGAAATGGTGTGGACACTGTCATTCCCTCAAACAGTTCAGGGACCAGTGATGCAGACCTTTACACCTTGGTCATCACACAAAGACTCACACACAACCTGAAGCACCAAGCCAAGAATAAGCCAGGAAGCAGCACTGTTCACAATAGCTCAAACCTGGAAACAATCCAAATGTCCATCAGCTGGTGAATAGATAGACATATAGTGAAATGCAGTGCTTGGCAACAAAAACGAATATACTATACTGATATGTGCAACAACACAGATGAACCTCAAAAACATTATGCTAAGTGAAAGAAGAGGGACACAAAAAGCCACATATTGTATGATTCTATTTATATGAAATTTCTGGAAAGGCAAAGCTATAGAGATAGAGTATAGATCAAGTGGCTAGGGGCTGGGGAGACGAGCTCGGATTGACTGCAAATAGGCACACAGGAATTTGGGAGGATGATGGACATGTTTTAAAATGGATTGTGGTGATAGCTGTACAACTATATAAATTTACTAAAAATAATTGAGCTGTACATTTACATTGATGAATTGTAAGACATGTAAATTATATTTCAATAAAGCTGTTAAGAGAGAAAAAAGAAAAAAAGCCAAGAAGACACACTCCAGCATATATTTCCAACCATACTGCTCAGTTCCATTCTCGTAAGAACTGTCTCCTAGTTAGGATTAATATTCCTCTTCCTATCTTCCTCTTTGGAGTAAACAGTTTCAAATTTGAAGCCACTGAGAAGGAGCCAACCAACCAGTAGTCTCAAATACAGAGGTACTAGACACTTGTAATTGTTGTGATGCATATGAAGCAAGAAAAGCCCCTGGGTGACCTGTTATCTCTAAATGAAGAACTATAAGTAAATTCTCTATCTGGGGGCATATTTTCACTATTGTTAAAGGCAGTCATTTGTTTGTTATGACTGAAGTCTATCTGTTTATTACTGTTACCTTCTACAAGCATAAGACAATGTCCTTAATTTTATAAACTTCTGTGAATTTGAAACTGTTACCTTCCACAGCTGGTTCAAGGTTACTCATATTTTAACATAATGGGAATTCTTAGATCAGTCTAGTCTTTTTTTTTTATAAGGATTTGATTTATTTATTAGAGAGAGAGAGCAAGAGCATACACAAGCTGGGGGGAGGGGCAGAGGGAGACGGAGAAGCAGACTCCCTGCTGAGCAGGGAGCCCCATGCGATGTGGGGCTCAATCCCAGGACCCTGAGATCATGACCTGAGCTGAAGGCAGACACTTAACTGACTGAGCCACTCAGGCATCCCTAGATCAGTCTAGTCCTATTTCCATTTACCAATGATGTCCACACCAAACATATAAGCTACATCTTAATTATTAATTTTCTAGTAGCTCTTCCCAGTGTGTGGAATTAGCCCAAGCACTGTCTGTAGCCACAGTAGGTATGTTATATGGTTTCCTGAAAAAGCCCTGTCCATACATAGGGAGTATTCTCCCTGTCACCCACTGCGCTCTGTCTTGATTAGAGGTCAGAAAAGGATTCTTCTCTTCTGAAAGGTATTAATGCTGGAGACCAAAGAGCAGTGCCACAAACTTCCACGTGACAGTCAGCAGTGTTTATGCTCAAGGGTTGTAATCAAGACCACTGTGGTTGATACAGTCCCCCTATGGTCAGAATTTATTTTTTGTCCTTTATCAACATAAGGCTTCCACTATAAAATGACTTGTATCTCTGGTAATGTATCCTGTAACACGTAATGGAGAAAGTGTTACTGAATGGGATTTGTTGGCTAATCATGTGGAAGTCTCTTTCAATCAATATAGCCCTCACCCTAAACTCTGGTATTCCAATGGAAGCATCCATAGATACTTTATCACCAAAAAAAGAAAAGGTAGACTTCCTATCACTTTCCAGGATATTTTCCACTTGGAGTGGTTGCATCATCATTAGCTTTTAATTGGCCATTTGACCATGATGCCAACATGTTTCAGCAGAATGTGCAATAGCCTTACTGTCTTTGAAATCAATTACTGAGGTTAAAATACAGTTTTACAATTAGCTGGAAGTACTGACCTTCTAAATCAATGGCAGCCTAAAATGAATACCTAGTTCCTTATGTTGTTTAATGCATCTCTGGGGGGAACTAATGAGAACTTGTTCTGCATTATTGTTGCTGTGGTTGTTTTGCCTAGCCCATCAACCTTATCCTATCAGTTTTCTCTCTGACTTCTCTCTCCTTCTTTCTCTGCCCATCTCTCTCCATCTCCTCCACTGCCTTCTCTTTTCCCCTGGTCATTCAAGATGTACCAGCAGAAGATGATCCTTCCCCTTGTGCTCTGGAGACAGGCCATGGGCGGCAGTGTCAGAACGGCACTGTGTGCAAGCCCGGGTGGGACGGGCCCAAGCACGGCATCACCAACTTCGACAATTTTGCCTTCGCCATGTTGACGGTGTTCCAGTGCATCACCATGGAGGGCTGGACAGACGTGCTGTACTGGGTACGTAGCTTGAGATGGGCAGAGGCAGGGAGTCCAGAAGGCTGTGAAACTTCCTAAATAGCTCCCTTTTCCACCCTCCCCACGACTTTGTGGTCACATACACACCTTGATGGAATAGTTGATGAATGTCTTTGATTTCTTCCAGGTCTTTCCTGAGAAACAAAGCATGAAATTTGCACCCTAATGAGTCTCTCTGTCCACCCACCAGCCTAAGAGAAATGTCATCTTTAAGTTTGTCCTACTGTAGTGAGAAATACGGGCACACAGCTGATGCTCTGTGAATGAGCTGGCCAAACCCGACACAAGGATTCTATCCAACTCCCTTCCTGTAGAAACTGTAGAGTTTCTTCTGTTCTCATCCTTGTCTTGCATCTGTCCCTGAAAGAGAGCTAGAGAGCACAATTATTAATTTTTAGGGCTAAGGAGAAAAGTCAGCCTGGTCTTCTAACAAGAAGCCATTTTTATTGAATTGTTAGCATTATGGCATGCTATTATATTTCTATTTCTCATGTTAACCCTACCTTATCATTTTAGAATAGTCCATCAGACAAATACATTGCCATCATTTTCACTGCTAACAAAACACTCTGCTGGTTATGTGACGCATATTTAGGAATACCGCTTCCTAAGTGTCAGCCAGTCAATGGTAAATCTTCTTTTCCCTTCAAGATGCCCCTTTTATTATCCAGAAGCTGTCAAAGTGCCAGATTTCTGCCTACGGGATACGCAGATATACACACCATATTTGAGCTGTCTCCACTCTGGCAGAGTCGAGTCCATTATTTGTAAAAGCTCCAGAAAATATAATTCTTTGTAGGATCTCCTACTTGAGCATGAGGAATGACTTGCCAGAATCCAGTGTTGTTCTCCAGCATTTGGGTGAAAAATGCTTGTTGCCAGTCTTGAAAATACCATCTCACCCAGAGTTTTGCAAATAGTCAAATTTATTTGGCCATGCTGAAAACAGTCTAAGAGTCTGCTTGGGGAATAGTGTCTACACACTAAGGCAGGGAAGAGGGAGAGGGAAACGAGTGGCTTCCCATTGAACAGAGCTGCCAGATAGAAAGGAACTGATGCCAAGAGAGGTATTGACTTCTTCCTAAAATCAGAAGAGTTTTGTTACAACACAGAGATGTGATACAGGGTATTGTATCTTTTAATTTTTTTTTTTTTTTTCCGCAAGAACCATGTCCTCTTGATTCAAAAATCCTCTTTTTCCAGTTTTTATGTTTGGGTCAACATGCTGAAACCCAGTGTTGCTATGAAGTGCATACCTCTCTGCAAATGACTACTTGAAACTTGCCTGAGAACCTTGTACCCAGCAAACATTTACTGAGCATTGCTTGCATGCCAGGGAAGCTCCTAGGTACAGGATTCAGACATAAATAACATCCAGTTCAGACTGAAAAGCTCAGTCTAGAGAAACAGTAAATCTAAACTGAATAATGGTGGTACAATTGGAACCGGGTCATGGTAGAGTTGCTATGTTGTGATACTTTGAAAAGAAGACAAAGGTCAAGCCACCTCTCCCTCAAATTAAAATGAAACACTGGAAAACATTTTTTAGGCCCATGCTCGACAAAACTGGTTTTGAATAATTTCTAAGTGGAAAAGAGGGAATTGAGTGTACTATGCTTAGGCAAATTTATTTCACTTAGCAAAGCTGATCAAATTCCCAAGTGGTCCTTCTACCTTGGGTAGATCCCTCTGGCTATCCATGTGCAGAAACGCCCTTCTGCACATGGGCAGTTTCTGCTATGGGTCATAAAACATGATCATATGAAACTGTGCTTCAGAGCCTCATCACATGAGCTTCAAACCCATGCTTTAAGTTGCTATGGGAATGCCTTCCATGGCAGCAAATTGAGGGCAGGGTGGCAGTGGGTGGGTGGGTGTAGGGCTGGGGGAATAGGTATAATTTGCTCTGCTGATGGCCCTGATGTATTTTTGTGAACTTTCTTCCTCACTCCCTCCCTCTCCCCCACCATAAGTCATTGATACCCCGCCAGCCAGATGTGACCCAAAGAAATACTGTCATAATGACAGCCAGAGTGGGGAATGAGAAGAAGCACACAACTGCAACTACCAATTTGCAGCAGCTGTGTTGTGCTTTCTCCCCGGGGGGGGGGGGGTGATAGAGCTCAGGCTGGGAACGGAAAAAGTGTCAGAGGTGAAGCAACAATCCCAGGCTCATGGGACATGTCTCTCTGATTTTCCCAGCACCTTCCCCAAACGGCCATATTGTGTGTGTGTGTACATGCGTGTGTGTGCGTGTGTGTGTGTGTATGTGCACATACACACACACACACGCACACACACCCCTAAAGCTGAAACACCCTCATATTTGGGTATTCATGGTGGAAGCACTTCCCAGCCCAATGCTCCTGCTTTCAGACAATTTCTCTAATTGCTTTGACCTTTCTATGACCATTTCTTCCTTTCCTCCTTCTTCTCTTTCCCTCTTATTTCCTCCCCTCTTCAGCATTCCTCCTTCTTGCCTCTGAGTCCATATCTCTAAACCCATAGACTCTCAAATCTCAATGTACTTTAGTATAAAACATGGAGCTTTCTAAATATAAAGATGCCCAGACTTCCCTCCAAGCCACTGAATGAGAAGTTCCAAAGTTAGGCCCCAGTATCTGCATTTTGAAAGGCTTCCCAGGTGATTCTGACGCCCAAGCTGGAGTCTGAAAACCCCTAGAAGTCTAACCTATTCAATCTGCATGGTGCTGCTTTGATGCCACTGGATTTGAACCAGTCTAGGAAGCTATAGTTTTCATGGAAATTGGAGAAGTAGGGTCTTCCACTCAGAACAATGCATTTCCCTTCAAATCCAAGGGGCAAGTCTAGAGAGTGTTGGAGGGAGCAACCAAGATTTTCAAGTATAGCAATGAATAGAAACCTCACAACCCGGTTCATTCTGAACTATCAAACAGCTGGTTAGATGTTCCTAGGGAAAGAATCAGCCATTAAAGCACTAAAGAAGCAATTGATTCAATCACTGTATATAGCTTGGGATGGAAGGGATCAGGGAGGTCAACAGTAGCAAAGAGCAGACACCTGCCTCCAACTGTGGATAATATCAAATCCATTTAGTTTTTTCTGTGACATCCATTATTTCATCCCATTGTTATGGTTTGAAGAGTTCGTGGACTAAAAAGTAAGATCAAACTTAGCGAAGTAACACTGCATAATTCCTCAAGCTGTTAAAGCTACTAGCCATACATTGGGTCAAGGCTCCAACTAGATTAACTATTTGTGGAAACATTTCTTTTACCGAATCTGTAGGCGACAGGGTAAGGGGTGAGGGACACTGGGGATTTGGAAGCTAAGCCAAAACTCAGTTTGAGATGTGGTTTCTTTGGGCAATGGTTTCTTAAGCCAAAGCCTCTTCACTTACTCTCAGAATGTCCATGCCTCTCCTAAAATAGTGGGGAAAGGTGAGCAAACAAAAGTATCAGCCTTCTTTAGAAACAGTAAAGCACCAAGACAGGGAAGAATCCAGTATTGTATGGCATTACCATTGGTTTCTATTTCTACGTTCAGATTTTATGGGTTTTTTTTTTAACCAAACACCCCTAACTTTCTGCATATAATTCAAGACTACTTGTCTTCTATGGTTTGAGCACATGCCTTCCTGAAGGTAGAAGAGGCAGCTAAATCAAGATGATTTGCAGGATTCTTAGACATGGTCTGAGGACTAGGGTCAGTTTGAAACCCTTCCACACTGCGTCCAGATCACAGTTAAATAGCATAAACATCAATCAAGTGTCTGTTCAGTGCTGAGTTTGTACTTGAGATAACCCCACGCTCTTGTGAAACAGAATAACATGACCGCTTACCCAGGGTTTGGAACACCTGGAGAAGGTATATGTGAGACTTGTGGGAAAGGGAGGCAGCAGCCAGAAGTAGGCATCACCCAAGAATACATGTTTCTGGCTCTTCAGGAATCTAGATGCCTGAATAATTAATCCTTCATCAGGAGGATTCTGTTGACCTCTGCTCACCCAATGCCCTCCTGGTCCAGGGCCCCCAAGAATATTACATACTGTGCAGCATAGTGAAAGCACTCAGGTCTAGGTTTTCCTGGACTCACACCCCACCCTACCTACCACCAACATAGTGGGATCACTTCTTTCCAACACCACCCATTGCCCCCTGCCACAACTGGTTTCTCCAGGATCAGTTGCTTCACTGATATTTAAAAAATAGAAATTGAGCCTAAAATAGGATTAGAAAGAATACTTAATGAGAAATCATATAAAGAAAAGATTTTTGGAATTACAAATAGTGTCTTTTGTAGCATCTGGGTTAGTTTGGGCTCAGCAGGAGACCCTGGGAACAAAAATTCTAATGTTTTAACCTTTCATAAGTCAGTTGTCAGCTCCACATTTGGTCTTGTCATCCCACTTACATGTCTGGACATGCTGGGAAGATAATTCCTTCTAAACTCTCATACACACACACATACACAGAGAGAGAGAGAGAGAGAGAGAGAGGGAGAGAGAAAGAGAGATGGCCACTCATATCTGCTCTTGGTGCTGCTGAAACATCCCTCATTTATGACAAAAGTCTTTTATATCCAGGCAGGTTGATTCAGGCTTTACCCTATTTTTTCTCACTCCGTCTTTTCTTCAAAAAGCCACCTCTTTTCACTATAGAATATAGAAAATGAGTCTCTGAAGCATCAAAAAAGCAGAAATGGAGCTGAGTTCTATTTATGACCTAATAGTCATTCTAAGTGAAGAGCTGGGAAAAAATCCTCAAGTAACCTAGAAACAGCATCCTCAGCTCTTTAACAGGTATCAGAGCCGAGAAAGTGGTAGGTCCTATTAGGACCCTGCAATTCTTACCTTTTAATCTGTTTCTGTTAGAGCGTGCCCCACTTAGTGCCCATGCTGTTTTAAACAAAGAATGTCATCTAGGGCGCCTGGGTGGCTCAGATGGTAAAGCGTCTGCCTTCGGCTCAGGTCATGATCCCAGGGTCCTGGGATCGAGTC